TACATTAACAACTTAATTATCATTTCACCAACTCAAATAAAAAATAAATAACTTATGCAGATATTTGCTTAACCATTTTCGTAATCAAATTTGTTTTGAAATACTCCCTTCATCTCTTAAAACTTGACCGGCATGAAGATAAATAAAGTAAAAACTGTGTGATTGAGGTTGTGTGCAGAGGAGAGAATTAACTAGAACCACAGATTCTCTACTTAAAAAGAAAAATGACAAACATAGTTGAACTATCATAGCACTCAGAAAATATGTAATCATAGCACTCACTATGATTACATCTTTTCTTCAAGGGAAGCTTCCGCTCTCGGCTTAACTAGCTAGAACAAGATTACACTCCATCCAAACAGTGCTATTATATTCTTATTACTGTGTGCAATGAAATTACATAATAATGTGATTCTCCAATCATCTCAATAAACGATTGAATTTTGTTAAAAAAAAACAAAAAAAAATAAAAAACGGAAAAGTTGACAAAGTTTTAAGGAATGAAGAGAGTATCTACTAAGACAAATGAGGTTGGTTTTTAGTAGTTTAATTAGTACTGCAATAATCAGGGGCCTGCAAAATAAAATAGTCAATATAGTACTAGAAAGATTGAAATATCTATCAATCAAAGACGTAAAATATAATAGATTTTGATTTCATTTATTTCATTGCTAACTTTTGGTGATTTTTTCTTCACAAATGTTTATTAGTTTAATTAAAAATTAAAAATTAAATATTCGTGATTTATAAGTTTTGTTACATTGATAACTTTCCACCATTCATACCCAATATCAACAACATTTATATCTCAAGTCCTGATCGAGAATTAACATGGCCTATTTTATGTTTTATGTCAATAAGTATGATATACAAAAATATGTACTCTCCGTGAATAACAACTTGTGTGTTGACTTGCACATATTTATGCAAAATAAAATTTTGACTTCATTTTTAACTATACACCTATTTTGGGTCAATTCAAATAAGAATAAATAAATGTAAAAGTGATACTATCTATTTACTATAGAAAATAATCACATTCAAGCAAAGAAGGTAGAAAATTGTTTTTGATGAAGAGACAGTATATATAAAGATGTGAGACCGATAATATCGCCGGCATTGAAAGTTTTTCCATTTGGCCAACCGCCCATGTCCAAACTCCAGCCGGCAGAACCACCAACGGGAAAGGTATCTGCATCAGCCAAACTGCACAATAGCATCGCTGCTACAACTACAACGGCGACGCTTTTATACACAGGCGGCATCTTCGCGAAGAGCAGCGAATACAATAAACAATTCAACCTAATTAAAAAAATCTATACTCCGTATATATATGGGAGTTTTTTTCAATTCTGAATTAGACTTCCTTTCTAATTATCTTTTTGTGAGCATTCACGTTGAAATTGTCACTCCTTTTATAAGGCCCGTCCTCGTACCATATCAAGCATATTGAACAGGGAAAACCCTCATATGGTAACTCATTAATCAATTCAAAGATTAGATCAATACAATGGCCGCGCATAATTGGATACAAATTCACCTGTTTATTACTTCCTCTGTTCTTAAATAAGTGCAACAGTCAGCATTTCACATATACCGAGGCACAACTTTGACCATCAATATTTATAACACTCTATTAGTAAAAAAATTTAAAAAAATCAGATTTTGAAAATTTACAATGAGACAAATTTAGTAATATTTGTTTCAAAAATATATATTAATACATCAATAAATAAAATGTAGTCAATGTAGAGCTTGCGAATAGTGTAAAATTTGGTATGTTGCACTTATTTAAGAAGGTAGTATATTGCCATTAATTAGGAGCCATATCTTTGAGAACAACACGTACAAATACAATTCCTCAGTCCCACTTTAATTTGTGTTCTTAACAATATTCAAGATATATAAATTTTTGGTTTAATCTGATCCAATATGATTCAATCAAAATTTCTTATTATGTGTATTTTATCATTGTCTAGGAATAGTTTTAATGTGATTAAAACTTTAAAACCTGATGGTTTGGTAGATGTTTATTGGAAAAACTGTCACATATGTCCTCTTACTATGTTGAAAAAGACAATTAAGACCTCGTACTTTATAATTAACCAACTAAATCCTCAAATTATTAAAAAGTTAATTACATAGTTTAGTAGGTAAACATCAAGTTTGCCGGTTAATTTTATACAGACTGTCACATTAGTGCAAAATATGCCTTCTATAACTAGGATTTAATATAGGTTCATGTTTAACCGTTATGGTATCGTAACAACAACAACAACATCCAAACCTTAGTCCCAAAACATATTGGGGTCGGCTAACATGAATCGATACATGATATCACCACCAAAAGGAAAAGAAAGAAAATAAAGATAAAAAAGATAAGCTATTATGAAAAGATCAAATAAAAGGAGATGAATATACCTAAAAATGATAAATAAAAAATATAAAAAATAATGTTTATATATAAGGATAAAAAAAGAAAAAAAAAGATGAGGGGAAAAGATAATACGAGATAAAACTGGAAAATATTGAATCTGACTTCACATATATTGTACCTAAAACTCCAGAAAATAAAAACACTTACTGATCTATCTATTATCCACACATTCCCAAAAATAGATCAGTAACCAGCAACCGACCATAGAGGAGTCCGTCACACCACCATTGTGGGTCAATAACATCACCTCTGCCAAGAACATTATTGTCGTTGTTAAGGCCATTAGTATCGCCGCCTCCAAGGCCATTAGTATTGCCGCCGCCAAGGCCATTATTGCCGCCGTTGGTTTCTAATCGGACGATTGGATCTACTCTTTCCTCTTGTGTTATTCTCCTTTCTTCTACCGGACGATTTGCAATTGCTCAATCGATTGGTAGGGGCTGCTGGGCGGCAGTTAAGCTAGGCAATGGAGAGGGAGCAGCGGGGGAAGGGGTTGGGGAAGGGGCTGGTGGGGGCTTATGAAGGGTGCTTGATGGGGGGGGCATTGGTTGCTTGGGTTGGGTGCTGGATGGGGGCTCTTGGGTGCAGGGGTTGAAGGGGGGGAGGTGCTGCAGGGCTGCAGGGGTTTGAGTGAGGGTGGGGGGTTACTGGAGGCTGGGGGAGGGTGTTGGAGGGGGGATAGGGACTGGGGAGGGTGTTGGAGGGGGCTGGTGGGGGGATGGTGGGGGGCTGGTTGGTGATGGGTGGCGGCTGTCACCGCCAGGTGGCGGCGGAGATCCCCGTTGGACGGCAACGATGGGCAATGCGATGGTCGGGGATGGTGGTGGTCGGGGCAACCGTGGTCGAGGCGGCCGTGTCGGTGTTGGTGTTGAATTGGTTGTGGTCATTAATTGGGTTGGTCACTGGTCGAATTGGTCACGAGGATTGATCCTGATCGGATTGGTCATGGTCGAATTGGTCATAGTTGGATTGGTCACGGTCGGATTGGTCACAATTGGATTGGTCACGGTCGGATTGGTCACGGTCAGTAAGGTCACGGTCAGTTTGGTCATGTTCGATTGATCATGATTGGATTGGTCTTTGATCAGGTTGGTCACTTGCCGGATTAGTCACTGGTCAGGTTGATTGTGGTCAATTGTAGTAGTTTAATCTCATTTTTAGAATTTTTTAAAAGTGATTCTTTATTTGTGCATAGCACTTATTTTAGTATTATTTATGGACAAACCCTAATATGATCGGCAAGATCATATGCCAATCACATCATGGGCAACTATGAGAACAAAAAGTAGAAGATTAGAATTTTCAAATGATCTTGCTGATTTGAACTCGTGATGACAGTAAAGTTTCTTTTATATTTTTTTATAAATGCTAAAAGTACTCTTAAAAAATAAGCCCAAAATTTATACAGTAATGGCAGTTAGGGGTGTTTTCCGTTGGATTGAAAATCTCTAATGTAATTTAATCCGTTTAAATATTGTCTGATCTATTAAATGTTAAGTACTTATATTTTTCTATTATCTAAGCCTCTGGTGTAGTGGGAAATTGAAATAGATCCAAGTGAAAAAATCCATATAGTGGTTGAGGTGGGAGGTAGTCCCAACATGTGAGTAGGGGAAATTGGGAAAGGGGTTAAAATTCAAATATAGTTGTAACATCCCGACCTCGCGGAACCCGAGGTAGTTATCTCACTCATGCACGTCCTGAGAAACTTCCCGGGGGTGGTCACCCATTTCAAGACTACTCTCGTGCAAGCACACTTAACTTTGGAGTTCTTAGGAGATGAGCTCCCTTAAAAGGAGATGCATCTCGTTGCGCCCATAAACCAATTTCAAATCTGAATTAAATCCCAGAATCCTCTGCCCCCCGCTAAGTGCCCGCCCGATATCCAACGGGTCAGCAGACTGTCGCAGGGTTTCTCTGATACCACCTATAACACCCCAGCCCCGCAGGACCCGAGGTAGTTACACAAGACTACTCCCATGCAAGCACACTTAACTTTGGAGTTCATAGGAGATGAGCTCCCTTAAAAGGAGATGCAACTTGTTGGTATGAGTAGTACTATTAATCTATTTAAATTAAATCTCAAGTGTTACAATAGTACTCCATATTGTTGATCTGAATCTTTTCAATGTGATTTGATTAGAATATTTTTTCTTTCTTTTTCTTGTTTTTTTATTAGAATCTTTTTAATATGATCTTATCTTATCCAGATGGCCTTTTTTACTGTTTATTTTTTTTATCTGATTTGAAATGAATTTTATGATATCATAAATTCATATCTACTATGGTATGATCGAATCTAATTTGAATAAAACAAAAATAAGTATAACTAATAAGCAATCAGAATAAGATTAAAATAACAACCCTTTAATCAGACTTCAAACAAATCCGAAAGGATGTCTGAGTGAAGGCTTTAAGGTTATGATATGTATATCAAAAGGTAATTCAGTACAATTATCCATTAAATGATCATTTTTTTGTTCTATTTAATTATAGTTTTATATTCATGTCATTCAGTAATAATAAGATAATAATGCAACTAAATTAAACAATTATTTAGCCAACCAAACAAAACCATAGATCTGATCGATGATATTTAAAAATTGAATAAAGTCCAAAGTATTTAATCTGTAATTTTTGTTATTCAAATAAATAAATATGGTTTTGAACCTTTTTTGTCGTACACATACGGTATATCCTAGCCATGAAAAATTACACAGTAGTGACAGTAACTTTTTGGCCAGCATCGCAATGACCAGGAATGCCACAAATGTAATAGCTGGTCCCACTGCTTAATGTAACTTGATCATGTCCTGAATTTAGCGTAGTCCCAACTGGCGTGCATGAGTCATAATTTTCCTTGGTCACAATTACCACGTTGTGTACTGCTGGATCGTAATTAAACACTGTACGTTCCACATACATTAACAACTTAATTATCATTTCACCAACTCAAATTAAAAAAATAAAAAATAAATTACTTATGACGATATTTGCTTAACCATTTTCGTCAGCAAACTTGTTTTGAAATACGTACTACCTACACCCCTTAAAACTTGGCCAAATTTGACCGACATGAATATAAATAAAGTAAAAATGTGTGATTGAGGTTTGTACAAAGGAGAGAATTAACTAGAATCACAAATTTCTTACTTTAAAAGAAAAGTGACAAACATAGTAGAACAATAACAAAAAAGTTAGAACCACAAATTCTTTACTTGAAATATCAATCAAAGACATAAAATATACTCCCCCCGTCCCATTTATATTGTTCCGTTTTACCTTTTCGGGAAGTCCCAATTAAATGGTCTCATACCACATTTGGCAAAGTTTGTGTGGCTCTAAATCATTATTACTTTATTCTTAATTTATCAATTAATATCAACCATACAAACCCACTTTTCTTAGTAACCGTGTCACCCTCTTCCGGGACAATATAAATGGGACGGAGGTAGTAATAGATTTAGATTTCATTTATTTCATTGTTAACTTTTGGTGATTTTTTTTTTCACAAATGTTTATTAGTTTAATAAAATGAAATACTATTTGAAATTGTAAAATAAAAATAAAAAATTCATGATTTATAAGTTTTGTTACCTTGATAACTTTTCATCATTCAGACCAAATATCGACAACTTTTATCTCTCAATTCCCCGATTGATGACTAACCTATTTTATGTCAATAATATAAGGAACATATACACAAATATGTACTTGCACATATTTATGCAATATAAAATTTTGACTTCATTTTTAATTATACACCGACCTATTTTTTGTCAATTCAAATGAGTAAATAAATGTAAAATTGATAGAAAAATTCTTTTTATGGAAATCAGATTCAAATAAAGCAGGTAGAAAATTGTTTTTGATAGAGGCAGTATAAAGATGTGAGACCGATAATATCGCCGGCATTGAAAGTTTTTCCATTTGGCCAGCCGCCCATGTCAAAACTCCAGCCGGAAGAACCACCAACGGGAAAGGTATCTGCATCAGCCAAACTGCACAAGAGCATCGCTGCTACAGCTACAACGGCGAGGCTTTTATACACAGGCGGCATCTTGGTGAAGAACGTTTTCAAACTAAACAAAGATTAATATATGGGAGATTTTCACTTCTGAATTAGACTTCCTTTCGGTTTATCTTTTTGTGAGCATTGGGGTTGAAATTGTCGCTCCTTTTATAAGGCCCGTCCTCGTACCATATTGAACAGGGAAAACCCCCATATGGTAACTCATTAATCAAGGATTAGATCAATACAATGGCCGCACATGATTGGAAAGAAATTCATCTGTTTATTATATTGCCATTAATTAGGAGCCATATCTTTGAGAACAGTACGTCCAAATACAATTCCTCAGTCCCACTTTAATCTGTGTTCATAACAATATTCAAGATATATAAATTTTTTGTTCAATCTGATCCAATATGATTCAATCAAGATCTCTTATTATGTGTATTTCATCATTGTCTAGGAATAGGGTTAATGTGATTAAAACTTTAAAACCTGATGGTTTGGTAGATGTTTTTCGGAAAAACTGTCATTTAAGTTTTCTCATTACCTTGGTAAACACAACTAGGTCCTCCTACTTTATAATTAAGCAATTAAACCATCAAATTATTTAAAAAGTCAATTACACAGTTTAGTGGGTAAACATCAAGTTTGCCGGTTAATTTCGTACGGACTGTCAATGTGGTGACCCACATATTTGCCCCATCAGATAAATAAAATTAATTTAAAGAGAAAAAGAATTTCGATCATGTAAAGTCAAAATACTTATGTGGTGTAGTCGTTTACTCTCTTATACTTTGTATCAAATTCAGGACACAAAGACGAAAATTGAAGCAAAAGGACGACGACTGCCCGCAGGCTGAACCAGGGGGTGTCGGCCCTTGGTGTGAACTGTTAAAGTTCCACATTGAAAAATTGTGGAGTAATAAAGTGTTATATTAAGATTTAGACCACTACTCCTTTCAGGTTGACCTTTTATGATGGATCTTATGTCTTAACATGACATTAAAGCCAAATCGGTCCATAGTAATGGTGTAGAAAAAAGGTTTCATTGTGAGGTGGGGCGTAGTTGAAGTCCCACTCTGAAAAATTGTGAAGTAATAAAATGCTATATTAAGATTTAGACTACTACTCCTTTCAGGTTGACCTTTAATGATGGATCCTACGTCTTAACATGGAATCAAAGCCAAATCGGTCCATAGTAATGGTGTAGAAAAAGGGTTTCATTGTGTATTGGGGCATTAATATTGTGAGGTGGGTCGTAGTTGAAGTCCCACTCCGAAAAATTGTGAAATAATAAAATGTTATTATAAGATCTGGGCTACTCCTCCTATCGGGTTGATCTTTTAAGATGAAACTCCACATCTTATCATGAACTACAAACACTGGTACACACACAAGTTGTTTGGAGAGGCTTCCTAGAGATGACGATCTCATCAACCAACGAGGGTTGTAGTTGCCAGAATGACGGGAGCTTGTTGAGGGTTTTACCAGGCCGTAGACAATTCCGTTTAAGAACTATTTGGATCGACTTGGGTATTAGTTGTCGCATCTAATTAAATGGTTTGACTCTGGGAAAATCAGGTGGCAGATTTGTAGAACTGCAAATGGTGGTGAAATCTGATAGATGACGTCGCCAGTTGCTTGTAGAAGGTTAGGAGTACGGTACCACCGGATTGTATGGTCGACACTCGACAGGGGATTGAGGTCGCATTTGAGCACTTCTCAGAAGAAGAAGAAGATGACGTCGAGGAAAGAAGTCAAATGGTAAAAAAAGAGATCTTGAATTCAGATTGTATAAAAAATAGAAAGAATAATTTAAAAAGATAGCCATGTAGACCATCACGCTAGAAAGATAAACGGTAACTTGTTGGTTACCTACTAAAATGTTCAATTGAGTTTTTTTTTTAATAGTTTGAGAGTGTAATTGGTTTGTTTTGAAGTATCAGAACCTAATTGACTTTTCCGATATAGTTGGAGGGCTAGATTAAACAATTATATTTACACAAGAGTAATTCATGGGAAACAGACTACAAGGGTATAACGAGGAAACTTACAAATAAGGGTGATCGGAATGATCAAATTATGTTATGTGGTCGGGGCGGCGGCAGTGATAACTAATGATGTTTTTTCATTTGGACTGAAATTTGCTGGTCTGATCTGATGTAGTCTGGTCTTGTCTGTTTAGGTCTGGTCTTGTCTGGTCTGTCTGAACTGGTCCGGTTTGGTCTGATAAACGTCTGATCTCCGGGTATTTTATAATTGTTCAAGTCTGGTCTGGGATTGAAAACAGTCCAAAAGAAAATTACCTAAATGGGATGGTGGCAGCAGTCACTGACAGGGACAGTCACCAATTCGTGGAGTCACTGCAAGCGGGCAGTGACATCGCCAATTTTAACTGGTCAGGGCGGCGGCTGCAGTCACTGGCCGAGGCAGTCATTAAATTAATTGGTAGTCACAACTGACAAAATACCAATTGGTGGAGTCACGATTGCGGTGACAGTCACTTTAGGTGGGTGTCACTATAGACGTGGTCACTCGCCAACGAAGGCACTGATCGATGTATGGTAACAAAGTCACTAACCAGCAATGTCACTGTGGTGGCGGCAACAGTGATGGCGGCGATCACGGTGATGGTACGTGGTGGTGGCCATTGGAGTGACTAGAAGACATTGATTAATTATTGATTATAATAATGGAATGTTATAATAATAATAATTATAATAATGAATGAATGTATTATTATATAAGGTCTTAAATGATATGGGTAGATCGTATAATTCATATTTATAAAAAAATTAAAAACAAGTCACTTTTTAATATTTTGAATCCTTTTTAGTATATTGAGAAAAATAAGTCACACTTAAAACAATTAGGAATATTGTTTCAAGTGGGCCCCCACGTCTATTCCTCTTGCGCGTGCCAACTTGCCTACCGATTGTCATGTGAATGAAGACACTATAAAAAAGTTGAATGGGGGGTTTCACACCTCCCATCTATGGGTGCCCCTAATCCACTATAATGCCTTCCATTAATAAAAAAGTTTGTGTAGCAACATGAAAACCTCTAATTTGAATGGGGGGTTTCACACCTCCCGTTGCGGACAGCCTTAAGGTGTTAAAAAAGGGAAAAGACACATATATACCACTATAGTATAGGTGCGGGCACTAATATACCCTTGTTTTATTTTTCGGAACAAATATATCCCTGAACTTTGAAAAAAGAACAAAAATATCCCTCATGTTCTTATATAAAGGAGCAAATTAATCCTTATCGACTTAAAATTAATAAAATAAATTTCAAAAAACACTAAAAAATTAAAAATTCGAAATTAAAATATAAAAAAATAAAAAAAATGGAATTGTGTCCAATTCTCCCTTTTTTTTGTATCACAATTAAATATTTTTAGAATATAAATTCACTATTTTGTAATTTTTGAGCTATTTATCATCATACAAAATATGTAATTTTATAGTGCAAAAAATGCAAAAATAATTTTATTACATTGCAACACATATGTTAGCACATTTTCGATCGATAGAATCTTAAATATATAGTAAAATTTTGAAATAATATTTTATACTAAAAATATTAAATTTTTAAATTTTGTTTATGTTTTAATTTCGAATTTTTAATTTTTTGGTGTTTTTGGAAATTTATTTTATTACTTTAAAGTTAATAAGGGATATTTTTGCACCTTTTTCAAAGTCTAGAGGTATATTTGTTCCGAAAAATAGAACAAGGGTATATTTGTTCCTGCATCTATACTATAGGGGTATATATGTACCTTTTCCCTTAAAAAAATCCGCCTTTTATTTACTCGTAACGTTTTTCTGCAGTGTCTTTACAGCTAGAAAGCATGTTAAAAATTGTGGTGAAATATATGGATCTTTTTATTAATGTTTTGACTCTTGAGTCTGTCGCTATGTTTAATAAACCGAACCAGACCAGCCGGGTCGGGCCGGAAACCGGTGAACCGGCCAATCATCCGATCCGGTTATGCTCTGACCCGCAAATACAACCAAAACCGCAAAAAACCAGCAACCCGCTCGTACCCGGACGAAACCTGACCCGCTAGGAAACCAGAAACCTGATATATTTTCAAATAGGCCTAAAATTATGTTGTGTCTTTTAGAATATGATGGATGTGTGAATATATTAGAATATTAAATATTCAGAAAGGTTTAATAATTTTTTTGCAATACTGTATTTAATTAATCAAATGTTTTAAGACTAGAAAAAATATCGATAATATTTTTTAATATAAAAAAATGCTGTGTAAATATTATGTAGTATTATTATCATTTCATCATAGTGATTAGTGAAGAATAATTGTTTCAAGCTTTTAAAATATATTATTATATGTCTATTTACTATAAAACTTTATATAACAGTTGACCGGGTTTTAAGGCGTTGACCGGGTTGACCCGCCGGGTCCGGCTTGACCCATGACCCGATTATTCAACCGGGTCGCTCTCCGGTCCGGTTTTTACAACATAGGTCTGTCGGACACAAAAGCCATTCTTTTTCAGAGGAAATACACAAAACTCAAAAATAACATTGACAAATTGTAGTGGCAATTATGCAATTGACATCGTTTTTTTGTTGAAATGCAACCTGTTATTTCAACTTACTAGTAACTTCGTTCATGTGTGTGTTGCATGAGGGTGTAAATCTATATACTCCGTATTATTTAATGTTTTGATTGCAAAAATAATATTAAAAAACAACGTGAAAAAAGTCGAAGTTTTTAAATATATTTTTGGATATTTATTCATTTTCCTTGTATATCATTACAAAATTATGTAATTATAATAAAATTCTAATTATTTAATTCATAGGCTTTGCCCAATATATTTTCTTCTTGGTGTTTGAACTATTTTGAAAAATGCCAAACGTATCCAGTTTTTCGTTTTCAAATTTCCCGTCTATTTGACATGAAGTTTTAAACACGTTTCATAACATTTAGAGCCCGTTTGGTAGCACGAAAATCGGCTGTTTTGGCTGATTCTGCTGAAATTTCTGAAGTTCTGGCTGAAGTGGCTGCATTGGCTGATTCTGCTGATTTAAGAAACAATTATTTTTAAAATATATTTTATTAATAAAATAAAGAAAAAAAATATGTAAAAATAGCTAAAAT